TTCAGAGGTGTAACAAAGATCAACAAAATCCATGAAGCCAAAAAGAAATGTAGCTCAAATGTTAACCTTGTATCCACTTGGTAGAAACATTTGAGTTTCTACTAATTGTGATCCTGTGATATCAAAGCATTAACAGAAGTTTATGTACCTCACCGTTCAGTCAGACTGTGCTTATGCATCAAGGACACTTGTATGAACAGTAACATGTTATGTGACTTTTTAATGCACAATGGCTGCTTCCAGTTGTAGGTAGCTCAATTTTTGCCTGTATCTGAATGAAACCACGACACATGAACCAAATCCTGTTCTTACAGGCTTTTTCTTCAAACATTTAGCATGTGAATGTTATCGCTCAGCCCAGTCAGTCGGCATACTGAGTGAACACGTACAGACTGAATGCAATCTGTGTGCCAGTCCCACATGCAGGTCCCCTGAGGCATCACTGTGCTGTAGGGATAAGCTCCCAGCAGAGCCATAGAGGATTGGAGCTCTGAGACAGATTCTGGGATTTGCTGTGTCGATACACTTCCTGCTCTCACCCTGCCCAGGCTCGGCCTCAGACGCCCTCTGAGCTCAGCCTTCCAGTTCACCTCCAGACCCAGTTCGATCCAGGAGTGGGGGCAGAGAAGACAGATGAAGGAGTCTGCATCGTCTCCCAGCAGTTTAGAGACCATCACTTATACCTCTTTCCTTCTCTACCTCCTCAGGAGCAGCAGCAGGTTCATGACCGAGGAAGTGGATCTCGTAAGATGAAGTTGAAGCATAAACATCGATCTGATTGGGGTCTAAGGTAGCCAAGGTGTAGTCCTCTTTGCTGCTGTGTGTGGTTGTCCACAGCCAACTGAAACCACTGATCTCAGGATGACTTAATAATGAAAACCTTTAAAAATGGGTGAGTCTGTCTTCTTCTTCTACTGTAATTATTTCTAATAGTGTAGAGAAAAAATAATCTACGCGCCCTGAAAATGAAATCTCAGTGGTTCTGAGTTTTCTTCATTTTTCTTCGTCCTCTTTCCCCCATAGTGTGCGTTGTCCTGCCTCCCTATGCTCCCCCTTTTTTCCCCTTCCCCACAACCTCCACTTTGTCATGGGAGACCACTGCCACTCCCCGAGTTCTTCCTTCCCGCCAAAGTGAAAAGTGATCGCTCATAAGTGGGTTGCTTAATTGGGTATAAAGATAAAGACCCAAATGAATATTGTTGTTGCACCTCAGGGCGACTGCTCAGCTGGTGCTGTATAAATACACCTGAACTGATGAGGGTCATTACATCTCAAATCATCACATTTTCACAACCTTTTCTGCTCAGCCACCTCTGATGTCCCTGAAAAGTTTATGGTTTAAAACCTGGTCATGTATAAAATGATTGCTGTGAAATTTTGGCTTCATATATCAAATAATTTTCTAGAGATTTTAAGGCAAATTCGACTTATTTTTCCTCCACACGCTAAATTCTGAGGCAATTTTTGAACTTTTAAATTAAAAAAAGACTGAACTTTCCAGACATTTCTTTTGTAAATAGAAATAAATCAGGATCTGCAATTTGGGGAAGATACATAAACAATCACTAGTTAAAACATTGAAATAATTAAAACCGTCCTGTCCCATGTAAACCCCATCTTTGAGCTCATGCTAACAAAAACAGAGCAAAATACCACTTAGACACAACATGCATATCACAACATCTCTGCTTACACGGTGTCAAATGAAGAAGGCAATACAAAGTAGATCATATCCCCAGATCTGGATAGATACACAAAAACACGTATCTATACGTGTTTTTGTGCACGGTGCCTCATCATTTCACCAACATCCCCACACATATTTAATACTCACTGCCTCAATAAAAGAAAAATCCCAAAACTCATAAAAGGTCCAGGAAAAAGGGCTCTGGCTGAATTAAAACGTGTTTTTAGCACTTTCGAAAAACACGTTAATAAAAAGCAGCACTTTGAACATGAACCTTAGCGATAAACCTTGATCTAAAAAATAACTCAAAGTCTCTGAGTTGGGCGTGTTGATGTTACGTCTCTGCGCTCCGGCCTCAAATCAGCCTCGATGGGCGGAGTGAAACTGACCACACCGGCCTTTAAAGACACACACCTCTGCAGGGATCAGAGCCTCATCCGTTTAACACGAACCGTGGACGTTAAGAACTGTTAACGTCCGTGAAGCGAACTTTAACGTTTACGGTGCTAACGGCCAGTATGACATAAATTAAATGTGTTTTTAATACTCTCATCAAATGTTTATGCATTTGTGAAATGTAGCCACTCTTAAATATCCATCTGAATATAAATATATAACATATAATAATGCAGATTCATAATACTATGTAGTCATATTTCGATATAAAAACGATGAAATATACATTTAACCTCGTTAATGTCACACTGCTGGAGCTTAGCGTGTACACAAATAAGCTCACCGTCTCTGAGGTGTTTTCATCGTGTGAGACAGAAACTCACCCGTTACCTCTGCTCTGCTCCCGGTGGAGTTTCTTCCGCAGGTTTAAGTTATTTTGCTCCGTGAACTTTGCGGCTGCCATGGAAACCGTGCTTACAAAATGAAAAAAAAAAAAACTTTTATTCCCTCCAATAAACTCTAACTCCTGTATAAAAAATAAATGTTTGTAATACTCTCACCAAAGGTTTATGCAATTGTGAAAAGTAACCACTGTTAAATATCCGTCTGAATATGAATATATAAATTATGATAATGCCTATTCATAATAGTATGTTGTCATATTTCGATATTGTAAAAAATGATAAAATATATATTTAAACTATTGAGAAAAACTAAATAAATGAAAAAATGAAAAAAAAAGTTTTAAAAAAAATTGCAAAGCAAAGCTAAGTTGATATTTAGAGATATTATCTTAATAAAATTTGGGTTAGGCCAGTGGTTCCCAAACTTTCTTTGCTGTGCCCCCTTTGTTTTACAAGAAAAATGTCCCCCCCGCGCGCACGCACACACACGCACGCACCCTCCAACCACACACGCCCATATTTTGCTCCATTGCGGTTTATTTCACACCTCAAACATTTAGTAAGCAAATACAAGTAATCTGCAATAAATTACAGGCAGTAAGAAAATAATCTACTAACTCTTTTACGCTACGTCTGCACCTACACGGGTATTTCTGAAAACGCAGCTGTTTCGTCCACACGTAAACGGCGTTTTGAAACACCGAAATGTCTGGCAGGATCAGCCTGATATTATATGTATCCCGCTGTAACTTTACTGTATAAAGAGCTACCATCTCCAAAATGTCAGGAGTAGTTAGTCATTACAACAAGTGTTTGTGAACTAAAAATCAAGAATGTGGGATCCTGTGTGTCCGGGATTTGAAGAGCCCAGCGCTGCTCCTGATGCAGGGAAAACCAATTCTGCAGGGGAGACCTACCTCAGCACTTGTGCAGGTGAAGTCAAAGGGAAGATTTGCTTCACCATATTTTCTAGTCTTTGTCTTAGAATGAAGTTGGTTTGAAAACATATTCAGCGATGCTTCGTCTCCTGCTTTGCGTTTGTGTGGGCGCCCCGTGCTACCATTGTCCAAGCGTTGGTTTTTCTTTTCACACTGCGCCCCCCCTGCCATGGCTCTGCGCCCCCCTCCCCCAGGGGGCGACCCCCACCCACTCCCCTCCCCTCCCCTCCCCTAGGGGGCGGGCCCCACACTTTGGGAAGGTCTGGGTTAGGCTATCATTTCACGTTTTAGTTGGTTCTGATAAGGGCGAGGATAGGGGGAAATGTAAACTAACAAATACACAAACAAAAAACCCTTTAAAAAACGTTTCTATTGTGTAATTTAAATGTAAATTTGCCTTTTATATTTAACCTTAAAAGTCAAAAATAGCTTTTCATTTTTAATCCTCTTTATTTTTCGATTTTATCTCTGCATCAGTGTTCCTATAATGCAGGGGTGTCAAACTCCAGGCCTCGAGGGCCGGTGTCCTGCAGGTTTTAGATCTAACCCTGGGTCAACACACCTGAATCAAATGATCAGTTCATTACCAGGCTTCTGGAGAACTTCAAGACATGTTGTAGAGGTAATTCATACATTTAATTCATCTGTGTTGGATCAAGGACACATCTAAAACCTGCAGGACATCGGCCCTCCAGGCCTGGAGTTCGACACCTGTGCTAAAATATATGCTGTTTCTTTTTTAAAATCTCTTTTATTTGTTTATTTTTATTTTGTTTTGATCTTATATACACAAACCTGTAATTTTTACAGAGCAGTTGGCTGTCAGCTCCCAAGTAAGGCTCTTAATGCCAACCTCAACAAGCAAACTGTCAGAAAATCAAAACAATTCAGACAAAGAAAAAAAAGGAGATAATCACATATGTTATGGTGTTGAACATGAGGTCAGACACGGTGCTGGAAGAGGGCGGTCATGATTTGTAGAACCATGGAGGACAGGCATCTAAGACCATAAACCGTCAGATAGTAAACTTGTTGTCAATAATAAGGTCAAATATCTCAGACATGACTGAGTTTCTGTCATTTTTTACATTTATTTACTACAGGTTAAGCCTAAAGACTCGTTCTGACATATTTCTTTTATTTACTAGCAGCATCTCTTTATCATGTAGAAAAACAGTTTTTTGTCATGTTACGACAGCAAGGACACGATTTTTAAAACATATTCTTACTGTAAAATTAACAGTTTTGTATGGTTCATTATTTTATAGAAGTAAATGGATTATTTAGAAAATATTGATGTAAATTAAACATTTTCTTTGTTTTTCTATTTACACTTTTTTGATGTCAAGATTTTACACAATTTTACTGTTAATTTCACAAACGTTTTGTACAACAATGCAACAGTGGAGGATGATATGAGACAGATGACTTGCTGAGGTGGCCCTTAAGGAAGAAGACGTACTGCACGCTCAAACACTAAAACTCAAAATTTTAGTATAGGTCATGTATCTTTTTTTCCAGGTACAACCATAATACCAAGTTTTTGCAGAACCCGTAAATCGATCTTTTGACAACTTTACATAAAACTTCTGTTTTATTGTTTAGGACAAGTTAACAAAATACAACTTTTAACCCTTTACACTATACTGCTTGTTTTACCCAACCACCACCTGTTGTACCTAACAATATTTTCTTGTTAATGCAAATATGTAATAAGCCATATTTTTTTCTCAAATAAAAATGAATCCAGCTAAATATTTCTGCCCGTACACTCCAACACTGCAAACAAGAGAGAAATTAATCAAGAAACACATCAAATTACACTTACAGTGTTTGCTTTGCTCCAATCACAGTTTTCAAACATGTGCAGATGTTCTGATATTTTAAGAAGCACGCAGTCACGCTGTTTATGTCTAATTTAATATCTTGTAGCTAAAGAAATCGATAAAGATATCATATATCAATAGCAGATATTGATATGACCTTTACGATGACACACAAAAAAGAAAAGACACATGTACAAATCGTCCAAACAGAAAAAGTCTGACTCTCAGGATTTGAAGCCCTTCTGATGAGATAAATGCACAATTACAGAGTTCGTACTCAGGCTGAGGGTCCTCGAGGGTTTGTATCTCAGCTCTTCAGCAAAGAACATCAGCTGGATGTAGCTGAGGCCCCTCTAACCGAGCGCCATTCCAGTGAAGTCTCTTTGGACCTCTGTCGAGATGAGGAATCTCCTCTGCAGCACTCAGACTCAATTTGTAGAGTATTTGGTGCTGGATCAGGAGTACATGCTCCAGTAGATGGTGTTGAAGAGCAGGTAGGACAGAGGGAAGGCCAGTCTAGAGTACGAGTCGATCATGTAGCTGTTGTTGACCAGCAGGTCCACGTTTTCACGTACAGACCGCTGACGGCGAAGCCGAGTCCCCTCCGTGGGGCGCATGTCTGAGCTTTGGGTTGGCGATGTCAGAGGGTCAGAGGTCAAGGTGGGTGCCAGACGGGGGAATGTAGTCAGCTCAATATCGTTGTCGTGGAAACACCCGTCAAAGGCCATTGCTTGACTGGCGTTGAAGGTGGATGGGATCTTTAAAGGCAAAAAAAGGAAACGAGCAGGTGGAGATTTCACCGACAGAGACCCGGCACTCAAAAATCTTGAATTACAATCCGAGGATTAATCTTTAAAAGCAAAGAGGTAATATATAAATAAAAGGGGGACATCTCTTAAAAATTCCATTTTGTGGCAAAGACAAACGTTTTAATCATTTCTCTAAATCAGATTTGAGTGGTGATCAAACATGTGCCGTTTTAATGCATCAGTGGACACTTAGTTTGTTTCAGATTTACACAGAAATCCAAATTCCAACATGAATTGATTATGTCGGATACTTACTAAAAAAAGGTAATAACACCACAAAGCAGTTTAAAACTTGTGGATGTTTTGAAATGACAGGAAATGTTCACCTGACTGCAGTTTCTTTTTAACTACTTTTGACATTTTAAAGATATTTTTGCAAAACGTAATGCTTGCTTTTGTCACAAGGTGTCAGTGTTTCACCAGGACGATTCTTTTTCTCTTGAGTCCTTCAACAGTCCAAAACCTCCTGAAGAAAGTAACGGCTGGAGATTTTCATATTTTAAAAGCTAGGTTGAATTTTTGATATTTATGATTAAAACAACTCAAATAATAAAGTAGTGATTTCAGCTGTTTAAAAATATGCTCCACCTTAAACTCTGCTCCACCTTCTGAAGTACTTTGTTAATGCTTTGAGAGGCCACTTTGCTTGAAACCTATTGACTCAATGACTGACTTTTCACACACATGAAAGGGAAGGTTGCAGCCAATGGTTACTTCCAATTAAAAGGGAGTTTTTCCCTTCCCACTGTTGCTAAACTGCTTGCCCAGAGAGGGTCTTATGATTGCTGGGTCTTTCTCTATGTATCATTGTAGGGTCTACCTTACAATATAAAGCATCTTGAGGCAACTGTTGTGATTTGGCGCTGTATGAATAAAATTGAATTGAATCGATACTCTGGCTCCAAAAAGGCTCTCACGCATTGCACGAAAATGTCAAAGTTTGAGTAAATCTTAGTAAAGATCCAAGAGGCAGCTGGAGGGTTCTGTGCAGCACATGTAATGGCCCTGATTGGCCACTAGAGTGAGACATTAAGCAAAATGTTGCCTCGCTCTTTGCACAGTAATAATCCCCCTTCCCCCCTGTGCTGACCTTCCCCCTCTTCATCTTCCTCATCTCCTCCAGAGTGGTGCAGTAGTTCACGGCTGCATATTCAATCACAGACAGGAAGACAAACAGGAAGCTGGTCCACAGGTAGATGTCCACCGCTTTCACGTACGACACCTGGAAAGCATCGCACGTTTTCACATATACAGGGCCACATTTAATATGGTTCACCCCTTTGTCATTTATCTATTTATATTTTAACCTTATTTTTTTTCCCTTGTTGCCATTTTTAAAATGGGGTTTCAACAGACTTTATAAAAAAGCCTAAAAACAAAAACAAAGCAATGTACAGTCAATGGTATATCCTCCTACTTTAGTTACAAAATAGAAAAAAGTGACAAAATTGCCATCCCAGCTCCTCATTTTGCATAATTCTAGTTTTATCAATATTAAAGATAAGCTGCAAAATGTATATATTGTAAATTAATTCATAACACATTTTTGTTGGTTTTATCACATATTTAGGAAATGGCATTATGGCAAATAGCAAACGGCATTGTGTTTATACAAATTATGAAACTTTCAGTTCCCAAATATGATCCTGATCTTTGCACTTTTCCTCCACGATTAAGTTTGTTCAGTTTAAGTCAAAGAAGGATCTTTTGGGCTATTTCGCTTCACATAAGGTAAATAAAAATACTGCAAATGCAAAACATTTAAAAGAAATTTGACATTGGCATTGATATGCTGTTAAATTCCTTTCTGATCATCTGTTTTAGTCACCCAGAGCCAACATAGGCCTGCTGAACTCTCACAAACAGCTGTTACCTGAGGCATCGAGGCGGACACTCCTGTGATGATGGTGGACATGGTGAGTACTGTGGTTATACCTGCAGGGGACGAGAAAACACAGACAGACTTCACATATGACATTCAAATTCTTTCAAATAACGTGTGATGTTTGGTGAAGACTGGCTGTTCTTGTTTTGTTTTTGGACATGAGTGTAGACACCAAGAAGCCAAAAACTGCAGTTCTTTAAATTTGCATTGAGGCTGGCTTCAAAATGAATCCTCCTCCACAGACTGCCACGTTAAAGCCTTTAGATACACGTAATTACAGCAACTCTTCAGAGGGTGACATTTCTTTGGAACCCATCCATTTACTGTTATAACTTTGATGAGCAGGTGTGCTGACACACAGAGGTGTAAGGTGGTAACCGTCTGCTGAGCCTTGGCTCCACCAGCTGGAGTCATTGAAGTGAACCTGTGGACTGTGATTGTGTTCGTCATGTTGCTGTGAAGTACAGAGCATCCATGATGTTTGTTCTTCAGTCTGAGGATGTGAAATCCTAGTTTTTAATTGGTCTGTTAGCACAAATTAACAGGTATCTCACTCACACAGTTTATAGATGGAGCTTGCTAGCATCAACTTAGCACTCCACCTGTTAATATTGTAACTTTGACTCAGAACAAACTAAATACACTTGCTTCAACTTGACCCGGTTTTTCTGTCTTCTGTGGTTTATATAACTCTGTATAAGATGTGATGAAAAATACAAATAAATATCAAAAATATCCATCAACTGTGTCAAATTGATATTGATGCAGTAGGTTTTAGATTCATATAAATGTTATCCTGGCAGTATCATTTGTCTTGCAGTGTAGGATAAAATAGATCAATGATGGTGTAAAATAAAATGTTAGAGCATCACTGAAGTCATTAGGCTTCACCCCAAAAAAGGAACAGAACGAAACAGCACTATTTACAGGTTTAATGTGCCTCTTTAAATGTGGTTAAAGAGCCAGGAGAGAGCAGAAAGACTGGGATTTGAGGTGGTTGTACTTAGGATTTGCTTAATGAATGATACCCAGAGACACTCTTGCAGGAACAGCCCGTCTATCAATCCAGAAGGAGACCCAGGAGAGGACGACCATCAGCATGGTGGGGAAGTACGTCTGCAGCATGAAGAAGAAGATGTGCCTCCGCAGGATGAAGGTTATGAAGAGACGGTTGTACCAGCCTGACAAAGAGAGACAGAAAAACTTCAGTCTTTTCAGCAAACTGTGACACTTGATGATAAGGTTGGAGTTCCTGTTCATCCCAAAGTCTCTAAAAGCACTCTAATCTAAAAGAATATATCTACAAGTAAAGAGACAGACGTGTCCATATGTTTGTGACTACTGAATATGATCTGCTCCCACTTCCATTATTTTATGACACAATCTTACTGATGACCTACTAATTGTATTCAGCTGTGTTGCAGTAGGGACACATGGAAAAGTTTCAGGACACTGGTCTCTGAGGACTGGAGTTTGAGACCCTGCTTTAGAGCATAATGATCTGACTTGTGTTTTGTCTCTAAACGTGAGTACCCGCAGATGCTACAGGTACACAACCTGTGCTATACACACCGGTGCTGCTGTAGAAAGCCAGGCCACTGGAGGCTTGGAAATGCTCAATGAAGAACTGTGACAATACGATTTCATCCGTCCTCAGAGAGTCGTTGCCATTCTTCCAGTAAAGCATCAGGTCATTCTCGTTATACGCGTCTACAGTGAGAAACAATTAGAAACAAAGGGAGATGGAAAACAGAAGAAAGACAAGAACTGAGGTCAGCTGACATTATCCACCTTTCATTTATGTGTTACTTTATGATTAAAGAATGTGAAGTTTTTATTATTGTGTGTATATACTGAATGCGTCTTACAGCTCTCCAACTCCAGCGAGCAGTTCTGTGTGTCCAAAGGGAAGCTGCTGAAGTCCATCGAGCAGAGAGCCGTCACAGTGACCCTGAAACACCCACACACACAGATATAAAACAGCTTCCCCTGCAGCTGTCCTTGACTGTTCGTTCTTACAGTTTACTCCCTAGAAACTCAAGCAAACCAAAGTAGAGTCAGAAAAGTGAAAATAGGGCAGGGAAACAAAGATTAAAGCAGGAATCTAGAAGCTTTTTTTTCCTAGCTGCAACAATTTCTGTTTTGTCAGTTTGTCACATCTGATACACACTCACCAGATAGTTCAGATAGTTACACTTTGCTTAATACCAGACCTCCTTTTTTCAGAAAATAATGTAATTCGTGGCAGAAATTTGTTCCTCAGAGATTTTGGTCCAATTGTGTGAAGCTATTGACACGGTAGCTTCCCGCCGTTCCTGCAAATTAGCTGGCTGCAGATCCGTGATCAGATCTCCTGCTCTAACACATCCCATGCGTAGAGATGTGGTCATTGTGGAGATGGAATGATCTGTACATTTATGCCGTTTTCAAATGTTGCATCAGAAATTGAGACTTCTCAGACCAGCCACATTTTTCCTATTGTCTGTGAATTGTAGCCTGAGTTTCCCGTTGGGCAGAGCTGAGCAGAGTGGCAGCTGATCGGGTTCTCTTCTCTCTTCTGCTGTAGCCCCTCTGCTTCAAGCATGTGTTGTCTTCTGCAGACAATCACCTTCACATTCACATTCATGTCACATTTAAAGCCACTTAAATACCGTTCTTCCTCATTTTGATGCTCAGTTTGAACTTCAGCAGGTTGCCATGTCACTGTTACTGTCACGTCATTGGCTGATCAGATGTCTAGGTCAATGAGCAGTAGAACAGGTGCACCTAATGAAATTCCTGGTCATCTTATAAACCATCAGTGAGGCTTCGGAATAGTTTAAGGGACGGTTGGTTCATAAGGGATGCTACAGACATGCACAGTGTAAGATGGGATGCTTTACTTACTTATTTTATTATATGAAAAAAACCCTAATAAATCAATGTTTTCCTGACACCACATATATTTAATAAAGTAAACATTGGCTGCACTAAGCTTCAGAGGATTTCATCGTCTTCTCTGCAGCTTAACACTTTTGCATCCACCTGAACACCTGCCCTCTACCTGACGCTGTAGAGGATTTTTCCATCAGGGTAAACCCGCAGCATGATGTTCTCCATGGTGGTGTCGTGGATGAAGGAACGTTTGGAGTGGACGAAGAAGACGTCGGGAACCCAGATCTTCTTCACCAGCCGGGAGTCAAAAGTCCTGCTCTGGTTGTTTCTAGACGGGAACGCCAGCCTCTCGTCCTTCCAGTAGTGACGCAGGTACAGAGTCATGGTGAAGTCCTACAGACGGCAGACACACACCAGAGAAACATATACTTCTTATGTTTCTTTAATTTTTATTCATGTTTTTCAAGCAAGTTTGAATTCATGGGAGATCTGGGGGCTCAGAAAATGTGGTTCCAGGCAGAGCCTGAACCTGGTGTCAACACTTCCATTGTTTTAGATCAGGTTGTCATTGCAGCACCGTCCTGTTCTCATTCATCTCTCTTGGCTGGAAGAACTTTTAAGTTAGACATGGCGCTGACTTCAAAGCTGGCCACTTGAGGGATCAAGAGCCAGAGAGTCAACTGACAAACAGTGACGTCAGTAAAACTATAAAGTCATAAAACTATAAAGTCATAAAACTACAGTTTAAGGAATCTCTTTAGTTCAGTTTGTCTACATGATTTTATTTTTACTGAAAGGTTATGAAAGAAGGGAAAAATATGACAGCTTTTGGTGTAATTTGTCTTAGGAACATTGTTTTTGGCTCATCAGAATGACTTATATGATCTTATTTAGCTGTGGTCTGGCAGCGCTTTTAATACCAAACTCTAAAACGCAATAAATTCTTAATGATTTGCAGCACAATGCACAAAGAGGTTGACACACTGGTTAGATCTATGTGATTAATTTGGCAGATATATATGTATATATATATATATTTATCCTGGATGGCCCTCCTGATGCAACCCCAGAGGGATCCTGGGAGGAGAGACAAAAGCAGGAAGTGTTTGCCTGTTTAGTAAATGTGTAAATTATTGAGCCACTGTTGGCAGCATAAAGCCTGTTGATCTAAAATACAGTGAAAAGTTCATAATTTAAGCCCTCTTTGTGTGCAGAGCAGTCCAGCAGGTCTGACTGGATTCTTTTTAGGCCATATCTGGGCCACAGGCTCCATTCAGCATTTGACACAAATGGTTTGAGGCCTTTTTAAGAACAGTGCCAGCTGTTTGGCCCTGATTCTGCAAACCTCTGTTAAACACCCCAATAGTTTATTTAATCTACTAATCTGTTTATTTATTTTACAGTGTAAAAACTATTGTATTAAGACATTTAACCAACATTTTCAGGAATATATTTAGGCAGCCTCTTTTATGATTATTTACTTGTGACCTTCCTTCATTCCTGTTAGTCACACTCCCTTTCTGATTACTGGTCCAATTAGTATCTCCTGTGTTCAGTTATCCTCTCACTTCCCGGGCTTCCTTTTTTCTCTATTGGATTTATTTGCCACTTTCCTAAATCAGGTTATCTAGCTGTTTTTATTCGCCTTCCTTCAAAACCCTACCTTTCATGTATGGATCTTGCTATTTCTTGTTTTTCCTATTTTTGATTTTTGGACTTTTATTGTGACATCTTGCATTTGGGTCCTTTCCTCTGTGACATGCCATTAAAAATCCTCACCATGTTGACCTCTGAGATGCTGTCGATGCTCTCCACCTGCACATCAATGCCTACGGGGATGGGCGCACCTAAAGCAAAGGCATGGAAAATATTTCATTTTAATGCCATTAACTCATAAATTATTTATCAGTGCTAGTAAAGAAACTCAGTCAGAACTGTGCAGCTCAACCTCTGCACATATTTTATGGGTGTCACAATTCTGTGTGTGAGTGGGGTGTGTGAATGGTGTAAACCGTAAAAAGTTATAAACTTAGACTCGACACATGGGTCATATTTCATGGGTTTCGCAAGTGGGTGTGACAGAATGAATCTAAAGCACCACCCATTTAATTTAAGGTTTTCTGGAGCCTATCCCAGCTGTCACTGGATAAGACACACCCTGGACCCTCATCATCGTCTACTCCAGGGTTAACAACCATCAACAGCCAAACATGTCAGTGAAGGTTCTCAGTCATCCAGTTTTGTTGTAGTCTAAGGAGCTTGGAAAGAAAAGCATCTGGACTTCTTTAATTTTCTTAAAGATGTTTCACCTCTCATCTGAGAAGCTTCTGAGAAGGACACTCCCAAAGGGCTTAAAATCTGGGACTCTCCACCATTTGCTCTTAGAACTGAAGAAGCTTCTCGGATGAGAGGTGAAGAGTCTTCAAGAAAATTAGAGAAGTCCAGACGCTTTCCTTTCCAAGCTACTTACACCATCAACAGTCAAGTTACAACCAGCCTGTTGGCTGCAACAAAGAAGAGAGTCACAAAACCAACATTTAACTAGCCTCGCAAAACACTGGCACTTCCTGCAGTCTCCTGCATCAAAACACACACACACACACACACACACACACACACACACACCCCATGATCCGTGTGAGGAAGCAAAGGAAGAACATGCAAACTCCCCACAGAAAGGCTGTGAAAGTCCTGGGTTTGAATCAACACCCAGGACAGTTTTGCTGTTTTCAGGCACAAACCCACAAACCCAGGACACAAACTCCACCCACAGATTTAATCAGATGAATATGAGCTGTGGTTTTGTTGAAGCATGTTCTTGCCAGCAAGTTGTATTTCTATCATTTGACAAATCATCTCATAACTCAAAGGTAGATTGTCAAGTTTAGGACAGACTGAACATTTTTGATAGAAACCTCAGATTGGAGACATCTAGGTGCCACAGTTGTATCACCACTGGGAGGCAAAAGAAAAACAACATTTGGCAATAAACACAATTATTTATTGTGCGTTCCATCAATGACACATGATTAGTGGTTCCTGAATGCCAGATAATGCACACAGGAATTGATAAGGAACTAGTTTGTGCTGCTGTCAGTCAGAATCCAGGGTGTAAAACATCCACACGAATGCAGGAAATGCCTCGACTGCAACACACCCATGTTTGCATGCACCAAGGTGCAAGGGCCCTTTAATCGCTGCTTGCAGCTTTAATTGACATTATCAAATTGCAATAAAGACAAATGTAATATAACTGTCAACAAAAAATTCTAAGCAATAAAGTTGGACGAATCCATGCAGTTATTGCAGGGCTGGACCATACTGTCATACGACAGCAACAGACGATCCTGGAATCTCGGATCTAATTTGTCAACTGAAAGTTTCTCACTTAGTGAAACACATAATACACACAGTGGAGTGCAAACAGAAACACAGCTCATAGAAATCCACATGCCTTCACAGTTAAAGGAAAAAAAGAATAGAAAACTATCCTGTGATAACAATAAAAATACTATTTTTAATGTGGGCTCAGTACTGGTATGTTTAAGGCAGAGGCTTTTTTAACAGCACCGGAAGCCTGCCTGAAAAGCTATTAGTGTCTGTTTGATGTCCTACAGTGAGATGGGATAGAATAAAAACCGATAATAATTTAACAGCATATCAGGATCAGTCACTTCTCGTTTATTGCTTTAATCCAATCACCCGTCCTGACCTGGAAACCTCATTTTGTGTTGTGACATCCTTTGTCTTTGGCACCAACTCACCTGTGCAGCCATTGACATCTGTCTTCATCTCTCCCGCCCCACCCCATCTTCCTCATCAGCAGATTGTTTAACGGCTCCTAAAAAGGCTGAACGCACATAAACAAGCAGAACACACATAGCTGGAGGGCTCTGCGACCTACCAATGATCATAAAAAGCAGCACTTAAATTATGGTTACTCGCTCACTGTTTGCTCCACAAAGCAATCATGACAAAGTTTAGGAAAGAAGTTTGTCCATCCCATAACAGTGCCTAGTGGCCGTGCTCTCCTTTGGAATTCTATACTGTTAATTTTAGGATATATCCACAGCTGCGACCTGCAGACAAAACAGCTCATTCCTGCGCCGACCACAAGCAACAACAATGATTTCACTGCTGTTCTGCTGGAGAAAAATGTTTCCATTCATTTGGAGGTAATGTTAAAAGGTTAACAACGAGGAGAATGCACAGAAGGAAAACCAGCTCCGACCACTCTTTCAGCCTGTTAGCGTGTGTTGCCATTCTTAGATGTCTTTATTTAATCCGGGCCAATTTAGATTAAATGGGAATGTCTTAGGACATCTAGGTTACGGTATGGAAAACAGCTGTTTTCAAGCAAAACTGCTCAAAATATGTGAACTTTCCATTTCTGCTGTTGCACTGTGACTGGAGTGGGTGGAATGTTAGTGTGGGTAGTGTTTTCTTGACATGAATAAGGCTCCATAATTCATGATTTAAAAGCTTCAGTATGAGTCAAGCTACATATACAGTAGTAGAGTTTTAAATGAAGAAGACTATCATCCACTTTATTGTTTTCAAAGTCCTGCCATACTTACATTCGTATAACTATAGGCTGGAAGCAGAGAGTGGTTAAAAAGGTGGTCTTAAAAATTCCCATCATATTGCAGTTTTGCCTGACATGTTTTCATAGCAATGAAACATATTTAATAGCAGCAAACTTATAACTGCATTGGCTACCTGTGAATCCTCATGTTCACATATCAAGTCAATGAGCATATCCTGGGCAATCTTTCTTTCTGACACTTAGAATACAGTTAATGAACTTCAGTGTTTTATTCAGTTTGACCGGAAATGAATGACGGGGTGTCGAGGGGTGTTTATCGAGGTTGGGGCCATTTTCACACAGATATGTGAGATCAGAAGTCTTCAGGTTTTGCTCCCTAGTTGCCAAAAAACCAAAAACAAATGCAGTGTTACAATAATGATGTCACTATTCAGACCTTGAAACTAAGGCCATATTTTTTGGGGATAATCTATCTGAATTTCAGGAGTGAGACCACACCTCCATACAAATGCAATCCAGCTCTCTGTCTGTCTATGACCCCCCCAATGACATTTAAATTAGTTGTGATGGATCAAGGACACCTCTAAAACCTGCAGGACACCGGCCCTCGAGGCCTGGGTTTGGACACCACTGACTCAAAGGATACTGTGCTGGTGACAAGCCTTGTACCCTAAAACACAGTAAGTTACTTTCTCTGAGTGCAGACTGACAGACCTCGCAGAACAGTTATTGTAATGACCACAAAAAATATAAAAATACAAAAGGTCCAGTTCAAATATTTGCTTTTGATGCTTTTTTTGTTACTGCGAATCAGGCAGAATCTGTGTCACTGCTTCCAAAAATTCCTATTTGAACCAAGAATTTTGAAACTAAAACTGCACCAGGTATCTGTGAGAAACAGCTGTTCCATCCTCCCCAAAAAGAGCCAGGCCATGAGGGGGTGGAACAGCAAAAAGCTAAAGTGCTGGCAGGAGGTGACTGTTACTAACAGCTCACAAGGTTGGCACACATGTTTCTCTAGGGCGAGCCACCTTTAAACTGCCAGAGCTCTCTCCTCTACTCCAGCTTTTATACTGAGGGCTGAAGGATCGCTGAGTGCAGCCAGCTGTGCACCACCTTCATAGGAGAATGAGGTCTGAGTCATTAGTTTTTTAAAACTTTACACAACACCATGTTCTTTTTGGACAGTAACCCAGGCTATGTTTTTCCTTTGAGATGGGAAATTTGCTAAATTGAAGCTAACTTTGTAAACCAACGGATAACATCACAGTGGGAGACATGAGTCATCAGTGTTCAGGAAGAGTTCATCCGGCGATGCTCTTTCGTTGCATTAATCCAGTTTAGATGCAAAATAAACTGCCTTGCTGGAAATCTTTGAAAAGTTGAGTATGCACAAACACAGACACACAAACTCTCTCTTGCACAGTCCCACACACACACTGTGACTGTGTGACTTAATAAAACCAGTGGAGACCAAAAATTTAATGTAGCCCCGACAACGACTGCTGTCAGGAAGAAAAACCTGCAACAGAAGGTCACTCGCTCTCCCTCTCCTGGATCTTTACTGCTTTCCTTTTCCCACATCACACCCAGTCCGAGTACATATGAGGCAGACGTGCAAAGCGAGGCCACAGCTGATTCTCCACTTTTGTGCTATGCAAAGGAGCTTCAACCCTAATTTATAACCTAAACCCTGTCTTATTGTTTGATATCAGCTCTGAAGAACTATTGTAACGATACTGTATAAAAAAATAAAATAAAAATCTGAACAACATTTTTCTTTAAATAAAGCAACAAATGACACAACAAATGACAGCTAATATATTTGAATATTAGCTATCAGCTAATACCAGCACAAGCTATCGCTACAGTTTTTTGTTAAACACCATGTTAAAGAGCTTGGACTCTTGGAATTGCACCTGTATTGTCCTCATCTGATCATTTGTAATTAAAAACATGGTTATGGTTCACCGTGACGTAGAACAGACTCACACCTTTGAACAATTTCCTCAATGCTGTTTGAGAGGAAATGTATCCTCTAAACCTCTGAGTGCCAGAATGTTAAAACTGCACACCAAGGTCAAGTTCGGGCTTATTTGAGCTGCCGACAAACATTTTAATGCGATCATTAAGCAGTAAAGTCCGACCCTTGATGCGAAAGGTACTTGACTATGTTGTATGCTGAGCACATTAGGCTTTTTCAGCTGGGTAAAGTATGTATATTTGGATAGGTTCTGGTCAGCTGTGTGCAAATAGGCTTGACTGTTTGTTTTGACTGCTGTCCCTTAATGAGACTTTGTT